CAACCATACGAGTGGCCTCCTCTGGACCCTTTCCAGGTTCTCCACGTCCCTCTTGAAGTGCGGCACCCAGAACTGGACACAGTACTCCAGCTGCGGCCTGACCAGTGCTGCATAGAGGGGGAGCAAGACCCCTCTGGACCTGTTAGTGATGCCCCTGTTGATGTATGACAGGGTGTGGTTGGCTCTGCCTATTGCTTTGTCGCATTGGCGACTCATATTCATCCTGGAGTCAATCACAACTCCAAGATCCCTCTCTGCCTCTGTGCTGCTGAGAGGGGCAGCCCACAGCAGGTGCTGCAGCCAAGACTCCCAGGAGGCTTTGGGATTAGATGCTGCCACTCATCAGGGCTTGGGGAAATGCTGGAGCCTCCCCTCCCCTCCATTTCCATCACCAGCAGCAGCTCCCACCACCACATGTAGGCAGTAGGTTCTGCTGGACCCCGTGTCCCCTGCAAATGGGACTGGGGCTACAGGCAGGGCAGTGGAGGTGGTGCCGTGAGGCCTGCGGGGAGCCTGCGCTGTGGGACCCACCATGCTGGCATCTGTGGCCTATTGAAGAGTGGAGGCAGCAGGAGGCAGCTCCTGCAGGTATTGATTTGCTGGCCCCGAACCCAGCAGACACCGGCCAATTAATTTCAAAGAAAGCAACGCAGCGGCCGTGCAGCTGGAGGCTCTGCCAGCCCCATCCGTGCCAAGCCCTGGTAGGAGGGCGAACGCCTTCAGTGCTGCCAGTGTCGTGCCAAAGCCTGTGCCCACGTGTTCAGGGCCCTCCTGCACAGGCCTGCAGCTTGGAGCAACTCGGGTTGGTTCTTCCTGGACACAGACACAGACACAGGCTTAGTGGGAGATTTTGCTGCACCCCCTGGAGTGGAAAGCTGTGTGGGTGCACTGGTTTGGCCTGCGAGCCCAGACCCCACCCTTGTTCCTGCCACCTCTTTCCAGCCATGTGTGTGGGTCCAGTTGCTGCCTCCGAGCTGTGAGGAGCAGTTAGCTCAGCTGCTTCTGCCCCAGCAGACTGCCCTGTGGTGCACAGCTGTAACAGGAGGAGTCATAAATGGGGGGGTGGCCTCTGGCCCAAGGAGTTTGGGATCCCTACAAGAGCCTGCACCTTGGTGCCAGTGCAGGATGGTGCTGGTAGATGCAGTGCCACAGGGCAGGGCATCAACCCTCTTGGCCCAAACAAGACCTGCCCCTTCTGTAGGGGAGGGAGAACCACCGGTCATGGCCTGGAGGGCACTGGGCTCCTGTCTGCCAGGGCTGAATTCACAGGCGAGGATGCCAAACCAGCATGTGCAGGAGTGAGAGCACTGCTGTGCAGTCCCCTGCCCCCCTGCTGCTGCCAGGGCCAAGGCTAAGGAGGGGAGGGTTGTGCTGAGCACCTGCCAGTGTCGGGGGAACCACATGCACACCTGGCACGGAGCTACATGGCCTGTGCATGCGTGTGCTGTGACTCCTTGCCTGCTGGGGGTTTGGCTGCTCACAGGGTCTCAGGAAATGAGCGCGTGCAGGGCCTCTGCCGTTATCGCTTCCCTAGCATTCCCAGCTTGCTCCTTGTGCCCAGACATCTCTGTGACGGGCACGTCAGGCAGGTGAGGGAGCTGGGGCATGGCACAGCAAGCAGCCTTTTGTGCTGCTTGGCCAGATCATGGCCAGGCCCTAGGAGCCCTGCCTGTCAGTGACCTCCGTGTGAACTCCGGCTCCTGTGCTCTGGGGTTGATCTGGGCTCAGGACACATCCGTGCAAACTGAGCTGTGGCTGCCGTTCCAGGCCCACGTGCCAGAGACTGCGTCACACGCTCCCTGAACTGCAGCTGGCGCCTTCTTCTCTTGCAGATCAAGAACGCTGCGGCCAATGTCCTCCGCGAGACATGGCTTATCTACAAACATACCAAGCTGCTCAAGAAGATCGACCATGCCAAAGTCCGGAAGCACCAGAGAAAGTTCCTTCAAGCCATTCACCAGTAAGTGAGCACCCTCCTGCTCAGGGCAACAGAGACAGGCCCAGGCTCTGGCACTGAATGTCCAGCTTGATACCCCCTGGTTCTTCATTCCCAGTAGCCCTGTGAAGCATGGGGTTAAGCCCCCCTGGGCCCCAGTGCCATTACATGCCCATGCAGCAGGCACAGCTGTCACAGCATCTCCTCCCACAGGTTGCGAAGCGTGAAGATGGAGCAGCGGAAGCTGAGTGACCAGGCCAACACACTAGTCGATCTTTCCAAGGTAAGTTCCTGCGGCCCCACTATCCCAGGGGGCTCGGCTTGTCCATGGCTCACTTGATGTGCAGCTGGGAGCACAGCCATGGCCCATACTCAGCCGGGAGGTGTCTTGGAGCTCCTGCCACGCTGGGTGCCTGGGCTCGCTTCCAGGTCGTGGGCCCCGACACGCCGGAGGCTGAGGTCTGACAGGTGGGGCAGCATGGGGCCCCTCTCGGAAGCATCTCCCATCAAGCTGGTTCCCATGGGAGCCCCCACAGCACAGCAGGGGCTGAGAGGAGCAGCTGCAGCTGGAGTTTTGGTAGTGGGGTGCCTGAAGCCCTCACACCAGTGGTGGCAGCTGGATGCTGTCAGGCCTCTCCAGGAAGTGGAAACGCATGCAGCAGCCAAAGCTGCTCACCACTTGGCAGCAGCTGCTGGCAGCCCCCTTCCTTCCTCCCTTTCTGACCTGGACTGGAACCCATCATGCTGACGGCCCAGAGGCCGGCTATCCACAACCAGTGCCCGCATTGCAGTGTGCATGTCCTCAACAGGCGATGGTAGAGCACAGAGCTGCCAGGTCTGAGCCACCTATGCTGAGGTTCAGCCCCTCGCAAGTGGAGCTGGGGTTGGATTTCACAACCTGATGCAGGAGCCAGCCCAAGAGCTCAGTTGCCAAGGCTTGTATCCAGTTTTGGAGAGGGAGCGGATTTGCTCCGTCTCCAAGCCTAGCTGGGATCCAAGGGGAGGCCTGTTTGCAGGGGCTAAGAGGGGCACCCAGTGGGGCTGGCTCTTGGAGGGGAATAGCCCCATCTGGGGTTACAAGCCACTCAGGGGTTGCCCCCTCCTTGTACCCTTGACCAGGGAGCCAGCCAGGTTCTGACTGTGGCAGCAGCACTAGCAGCCAGCAGCTAGCATTGCTCCAGCCCTGGGTGCTGAGGACTGCACAAGCACAGTGCTGCTGCCCACAGGGGTCACAGGGTGGCAGGCCCAAGCCAAGAACAGGTGGAACAGGTAGAAGCTGAGCCCCTGGGGTGGAGCTGCAGTACGTGGCAGGCTTGGGGGAGCCTCCTTGGGTGGGGCAGGGATTGCCAACTCGGTGCGAGAGACGTCTGCAGTCCAGGCCAGCACATGCTGTCTGCCCTGCTGCGTCCAATGGGGCTGGGCCAGCTCATGCAGCAGCCACTCTGCACAGCCTCAGTGCAGTGGGTGGAACTGGGCCTGCTGCCTCTGGCCTCTGCTCTTCCCACTCCTTCCAGCTGCATCAAGCTCAGGCCTCGGCCCCCTGGGCTGCTCATCTTGCACCCCCCCATGGCCCATGTGCTAACCTCTCCCCTCCTCCATTCACCCTCAGATGCAGAATGTCATGTACGACCTGATCACGGAGCTGAACGACCGCAGCGAGGACCTGGAGAAGCAGATCGGCAGCCTGGAGTCCAAGCTGGAGCAGCTGGCAGCCAGCTTCCACTCGCTGCCCCTGCTTGTCGCCGATGCGCTGCGCCAGCAGCAGCAGCAGCTGCTGGCAGCCGTGATGGAGGCGCGGGGCGTCAGCGTGACTGTGGGCACCCCCCAGACGCCGCTGTCCGACAGCCCCATCGGGGTCAGCTCCACCTCCTTCCCCACCCCGTACACCAGCTCCAGCAGCTGCTAGGCTGCCGCTCCCAGCCCTCCACGCTGGCGAAGCCTCTGCACACGCCGGCTCTCTCCTGGTTCTCTTATGCTGCGGCCCCTGGGACCAAGCCAGCGCAAGGAGCCGGGCAGGACTGATGCCGCAGCATGCCCAGCCCTCCACAACATCGGCCTGGAGCCCAGCACTGCCTGCAGGCAGTGAAGGGAGCGGCGGGCCTGTGCTGCAATGCCCGTGGACAGCAGGAGTCCACGCTCAATCTCAGGTCTTCACATGGAAAAAATGGGGCGGGCCACAGGCTGCTCAGTGGGAGCTTCCTCCCCTGCCCCACGCCACGGGGAAAGGGCAGGGGCAGTTTGCAGGCCACGACCTGGATCTCCCCCCTGCCCCCCCCACTCGCCCCCCACCTTCAGGGCAGTGCCAACGATGCCAATTTTGCACAGGCCCTGACTGAAGAGGCTGGCTCTCCACCGTGCCTGCACCCCTGACTCCCCATGCAGGGGCTGCGCTTCATTCACAGGGCTCCTCAGAGAGGGCATAGAAATGACCCAGGCTGTGCCACGGGACCAGTGGCTTCCTGAGGCCACTATGCCTAGGCTTGCAGTAGGGGCACGTTCCCAGGGGAGCAGAGGGTGCCTGGGCCCCTGCTGGAGCTGGGAAGGAGCAGGCCAGGTCAGAGGTGGGTCTGGATCTGGGTCAGCCCCAGAGTAGGGAGACCCCTGGGCCTGGCCAGTCCATCTCCACCACCCAGACCTTCCCAATAGGGCCTCGGCATCCTCCCCACTCCCTTCAGCTCAGCCCTGGATCAGCCCAGGAGGGACAGAGCCCAGGGCTGTCTCTAAAGTGCTGTGGGATGTGGGGACCAAGCTGCTTCATCCATGTACAAGAAGGCTCCCCTTGCTTGCAGGGGTTTGGGAGATAGTGTCTACACCGCCCTGTGCTCCTAGGAGCAGGGGAGGGCAGGTTGTGGGGGAGGCAGGGGGCTCAGTCCCACCCATGACCACCTCGGCTATGCTTATAGCCGCCTTGGGGGTGTCCTTGATGCTGAGGCCTCCTGCCTTTCCCCTCCCCCCACACCTGGCCAGGCTCATCACTGAGCACCATGCGCCTGGCTGTGCCAGGCCTGGCTGTGCTGGCTGCTCTCAGCAGAGATGCAGCGGGGGATGCGTGTGCGCTTCAACTGGGGAAGTAACTGTAATTACTCTGTGATATTAATTACATGTCACCCACGGCGGCTGGGAGCAAGAGGCGCTGCGGCTCTGGGGCTGCTCGGCACCTCTGCAGCTCTTCCCTGTGCTGGCAGGGGAGGCAGGATGCATGTGGGGTGGGCTCCTCACACCCTGGGACAGCTGCCGAGCGAGCGGGGAAGCTTCCCCCATGTGAGCCCTCTGCAGCCTGCGGTGCAGGGCAGCTGTGTGCGGGGAGCTGGGCAGACCCTGAGGGCCCCGACAGCTGGGCTGAGTGTGGCCCCTGGCCATGCCAGGGCACACTGCTCCTGGCTTTCTTGTTCCCCTTGGTTCAGACCTTCATGCTCCCTCCCCTCGCCGGGTAGCTCTCTGCCCTGTACACGCTGCTCCTAGGCCCCAGGGATCAGCTTCCTGGCTGCAGGTGCTCCTCCACGCGTCACCATACGGCTTTCTGCTCTGAGAGCGCTGTCCTGCTCTCTGCCCCCTGGCATTGTGGGCAGCACAGTGCCACCATCCCTCATGGGGCCCAAACACCATTCCTGGCTCTGCCACTGCCTTGCCGTGTGGCCTTGGGTGACTCTCATCCTCTCCACCTCAGTCTCCCCTCCTGGAAAATGGCCCTCGGGAAAGGCCTAGGCTTTGCGAGCGTGAAGGGATGTGTGCGGTCTCCGGGCAGCTCGGAGGGGGAAATCCTTTCCTCCCTCACCAGCGGTTCATACAGGAGGCGAGTGCCCCTCAGGGGTCTGGCCTGCGCCTGGGCTTTGAGTGGTGGGGCGGTGGTCCTGGAGGGAGTATCGACGGCAGAGCGCCGGTGCCACGAGCAGGGAAGTCCCTGCTCGATGCTGGGAAATGACACTGGCCAGGACGAGCCTCGAAAGCAGCGGGTGGCCGCTAGAGCCCAGCCCTCCCCCGGGAGCCTGGCCAGGGGCCCGGCTGCCCGGTCCAGTGTCGTTTCCTCAGGATCGCGGGTTCCTGGGCCAGGACTTCCTGGCTGGATCGGGCCCGCGCGGGGGTGGCCCCGGCTGCGGGGCAAGTCGCTGGGTTCCTTCCCGCGTCTCGTTTCAGCACCGCAGACAGCAGCCGGCTCCCCCGACCCCGGCGGCTGCAGGCGGCTCCGGGGCCTCCCGATCCCTTCCCTGCCGGACGCCCGCGGTGCCACCCACGGCAGCGGCGCGGGTGCAACCCGCGCGGCCAAGAAGGGCACGGCGGAGGCATCCGTGCCCCGGGGGGCTCCCCAGCCCTGCCCGCTGCCCGCCACAGCCAGCCCCAGCAG